TTCAATAAACTTACACTTACTATCTCGAAAGCCAACAAATACAAATACCTTAGTCAAGAGAGGTTCATTCTGGCAAACTGCACTGGCATCCTGTAGAGCCTGCTCATAGTTCTTCACGGTTAAATACAACTCTGCTCGCAGCAGCAATAATGAATTATCATCAGGCGCTGAAACACAGGGGGAATGCAAACAAATAAAAATGACTGCATTTAAAAGCAAAATAATCTTTAAGTTGTTAAAAATACTAAATTAGAAAGCAAGTATAAAGACAAAATAAGAAACAATTCTTCCCTCCGTATTTACAGTTTCATAGTTTGATACGTATATTTTATACAGAGTTTCTCTCAAGAAGACAGAAAGAAGACTAACAAGACTTCAAAACGCACCAAGAAAAACAGACTGCCATTGAGCATTCCTGCATACACACTAGCTACAATATAATCTCCGATAATAAACTAAGTAACTGCTGAATCATCTTAAGGCTATAACCAGATATTAAGAGATTTAATATAACCTTCATGAAAGTACACAAGGAAATCCATGCTTAAGACACTAACAAAAAGTAAAACATAATTTGTTTTTCTACACAACTGCGTGGATGTTGATTTATCCCCATAATTGTACCTACAATATGTTCTCTTAAGGGGAAAAACAAGAAAAAAACTTCCTTTCCCTTCATTTCTCAAACAGAAGAGATTCTGATAATTACTCTTATGCTATTACAGACAAAAGTCTAGCTACACAGAAGCCAAGAATGGCTCTATGAACTGACCTGTAGTATACGACGTACTGACCTAGCAGGGTCCCATGGAAAAGTGATGACGCCCGACCTCACGAAAAGCAGAACCATCACAGCTGTTTTTCATATTGCTGCACCTGGCTGACTGCGTATACCCACGCAGGGCTGTAGGTAATAGGGCTACAGCTGTGCATTTTAGTTGACCAAGAAATTTTCTGAGCACCTAAGATGTGTTCTCTCTACCTAACACACATTTTCAGTGTGCTCCAAATCCTTGAACTTGACTCTTTTTCAAACTACCCACTTGGTCCTTTCCGAATGTTAGTATGCTTTCTTTTAGTTTATGTAAGTCAGCAAGTGTGCATAAAGAACTCATGCAAAAAGATATTACATCAAGACACGGAGAACAATAACTACTTATAAGTGTATTATCACTACATATGTATAATACAGAGAAAGTATGACAAAAAAAGTAGAAAAGGGGGAAGGAACAGCGGGAGTCAAACAATACAATCTGAATTATTTAAAGCTTGATGACATTGTTTGATGTAGATAACTGGCTACAATAGGGCTCAGCAGCTTTTTTTTCCTCTGTACAAGAATAGATAGTAAATATTTTAGGCTTTGTAGGCCAAGAGGAAAACTGGAGGATATTATGTAGTACTTGTATAACAAGAGAAAAAAAAATTTCACAGATTTTTTATTTATG